TTTTTCCGCTCCGATGAGGAGACCATTCATCTGTAGGACATCCAGTGTTGCTAAGGATAGGTCGTGAAAAAATTGTCACTGGAGCCACAATAAGCCAGGCTGCAAAATACAGACTTTTTCGAAATCGGGAGTGCAGAGTTTAGCGTTTGGTTGTGAACCAGGCCACGACCCGATTCAAGTTTAATCCCTCAGTGATACATATCTCCAAGATAAAGGTCAAAGGTCACAATGGGACTTTATTGGCTCGGTCGTAACAGAAGATGAAGGGATAAGGTTTTTACTGTCTTTCTCCGCTTTGTCTAAGGACGGAGAATTACTCAGCTCGAAATCACCTGTGCACACCATTTGTAAGACAGGAAGTGCCAAAGGAATAGCAGATATTTGATGTCGTTCCTGTCTTCAAAATAGATGTTATATCTGAATATCAGCCAATTATCAGAGTGCCCGTTTGATCATGATCGCTTCCAAGTTGCCCACAGATATGATCCCACGCAGGAATACCAGCACCTTTGTGAGGAGAGCCGTGAAAACCAAGCAGAGTTCCGTTCGGGTCGTGGCTGCATTTACCATATCTCTACCTCACGACAACTGCTGGAGCATCGTCACACAGAAAAACAATAATTGTTGTTCTCATGTCTGAACGTAATGTCCGGCTCGGTCGCGCTGCTTTGTGGGGATGTCTATCTTTCAATGGTGTGCCACGCATTTTCTTCACAGTCCTCCAACCATCATACTATATACCTGCGGGCGCGTTAAGGTCTGCTGGGAATACTCTCCCAACATGACCAAAAGTGGTGCCCTTCAGGCTTACTGTTTGTCACCTTTTCTCCATAACCTAATAGTGGATTAATTAAGTGAGAAACTTTTGTTGTCTTTCACCCTAATTTTGGACCTTCTTTCCTGGGAAGCCCTTAAATTCATTGAATATTTGGCCAATGTTGCGCTACTTCTTTCAGTTTCCATTCAGATAAGAAACACACCAAATAACCTAAGTGATGTTACCATGCGTTTCGAATTGCGTCTCTCACCCTCAAAGTACGAAGTGCTATTATACGACTGGGCGAGCGCGCCACTAAAACAGGCTATGGTGTCAGAACCAAGTTACTGTCTGATTTCGTTTCCCCATCCTGCTGCATTCGGGGATTAAGGCGACCCGGTCGATGGCATGATTTCTTCTTCCAGGATGGGGACCGCGTGATCCTCGCTGTGCCTGGTTGGAGACACTACAAGATATGGCTGGCACCCGATGTCAGTGGCGTTCTTGTTGTCAGTTTCTGTCCAGATTGCCTGAGTGAATTTCTGGAGGTGTAGGCACCTCGGAATGATTGTGTTAAGCTAGCACTAAGTCCCTCCCCCATCCACCTTTATTCTTTTCTTTACAATAAGGCTTTCAAATAAGTCATGGCTGTACGGCAGTGAAGCATTGGTGTTGAGCACTGATGTCATGCTGTCGTTGATGATGATTGATGAGAGCAATTCTAACTAGAATTCGCTGACGCAAATGCCTTTATACAAGCTGAGCCACTCGTAGAGTGAGTTCGTGGCATCATCATCGACAGCATGATATCAGTGTCCAACACCGATGCTTCATTGCCGTATTGTACGAGGGCTGGGATATTACTGGGGCACCCACACTAGGACAGGAAGACGATTAGGGTCCTCAACCAAAGCCTTTGGCTCAAAAGCCTAACCGCAAGGCAGCGATGTTTGGCGGGAAATGCAAATGCATTTCCATTTTTACGGGACAATTCGCCACATGTTCCAGCCCCCAACCTGGAAGGCCAGGAGACTGTGTCTGTCAGACCTCTAACCACTGACCAACCTGATATGAGAGACTATGTGAGTGTCGCGGGACACTCCAGTATAGCTCAATGGATCGCTGAGGTGCGCAGCGCAACCCGCCACGGTAAGGTCCAGTCTCTTCGTGACAGTTCGTGGCCCATAATGCCTTATTCACCGGCTGTAATGGAAGCTGAGGAAATGAAAACCTCCGATGGGTCCCGGATGGTCTTACAACTATGGCGGTAACAAATTTGTCAAGCCTTGGTGTCTAGAGTGTCGCTCGAAGAGGTGTTGTCCCAATGGGACGAACTGGTGGTCATCCCGATTCTTACGGTTAGGTCTCAAGACAACCCGGAGGTTAGCCTTCTGTCCACTGTCCCCAAACTTCCGGATTCTATTATCCTTTCAATTTGTCTGGTTAGTGTGGTAAGAGGAGGTTGTTCTCGATATTGGTACGGAGTGCATCGATCAAACGTTGATCTTCTGCCACAACACCTACCAAGGACGACGGTAGTAAGTTTGCTGAACATCCCCACAGCAGATGAATCCCTCCACGAATAATCATACCAATGATTCAGTTGTAACACCACTCCGGTGCACATCTACCCGAAGGTTCCTCTCGATTAGGGAAATCTTGTACGACTATTCGTGATGGAAGAGGGGATAACAAATATCTGACAATAATAAAACACCTCCAACGCAAAACGTCTGGGAGGGCTAGGATATACGCACCAGCAAAGTGCACCGGGAATCCACACCTTCAATTTTGTCATTGATGATGTCCTTCATAGTCTTATAAAGACCCACATGAAATAGAGTCAAACTTCTGTGAGGATTGACAATCCTTGGGTTTCCCAACGATGCTAAGTGGTAAGTCGGCAGGGACTGAGGATTGCGCTTGCTAGTTACCTGCCGTTCTTACCATTAAGCTGTGAATTTGAACAGCATTCTGTGTTCGACAAATCTGACAGGTAACCAACTAGACATTGTACCTGAGTCGTCCCTTGCGGGGATATTACAGGTCTTCCTACAAATCGTGAGCTTGTACTTGCGTTTTCAAACTTAAAACGTCTTCGGAGGCGACGACGCATTCTTTCCTCTGAAAAGGGATACCCAAAGTATCGCAATACGAGACGTACTGCTCTAGAGATGTGAAAATGTCCACGTTGAAGAGATTTAGGATGTAACGGTGTTGAGAGTACTTGATCCCGAAAAGCCCACATTGTGAGATTGGATTTGGTCAAACCGTGCACTGTCATCCACTCGAAGGAAGCACGAAGCCTAAGATGCAGTCAGGTTGCCCAAGCCTAGACGGGGGCGGTCGAGATGCAGAGGTTGGGTTCGAATCACAGAACTTGCGTCTTAACCAGTGAGCGATTTCGAGCACAAAAAACCTAAGTGAAATGGGTTCTTCTTGGTTAGAGAATGAAAGCCGTCTATGGCATGTGGTTGTAGATACAGCAGGAAACGGTTAAATGGGGAAGTTGATGAGGATATGTAAGTCGATCGATGAACGCTTATCCTTAAAAGCGAAACCAAGCCAAAAGGTCTATAACGGGTCCGTAGCAAAACTGTTTGCGAAAATTGCACATAAATCTTTACCTCATGCTGCCGAAGAAAGCATCGTTTTTGGGAGAGATGGAGCACTAGAACTGGATAGGTTATGCTGATATATTGTGTACCTCGCACTCCAAAGCACTGTCTCGCAGAAAGCGCATATGCAGAAGACAATAAGACTGGGTCATGTTAGTAACTGAGCTTTAAAAAAATCGTTCAGCTTCAACACCCTTCCGGTGCCTAACTGCCATGCCACCCGAAGGGATACTGTCAGGTTGCCCGAACCTGGGCAGGGTGAGTCGAGAGGCCTTGGTCGGATTCGAACCACGCACGTTTCGGTCAGTAAATTCGCGTTCTAATCACTTGGACCATCTCGCCCCCAGTAAATGAGCTTTACTGTGTGAGGAATCCGACAAGACAAGTGAACGGTTGACAACACTGCTAAACATGTTCCAATCACGCAGCTAATGACCTTGCTGTATGAAACATACCACCTCTATTAAGTAGCTGTACCTATATCTAGCCTAACAAAAAGTGGAACCATTCAAGGTCAGTGGACCATAACTTTTTTGTCCAATTCGTTACCATCCACTAATTACTTCTGTAATTAGAGAATGAAGCCATGAAACCAACGCACCTCTGGCACATGGCTTGGAGCCTATAAAATAGATCAGAAAGCAAGGTATAAGATTAGCGTGCTATTTTGTCCGGTGTATGTAAGCGGTTTTGTCTCGGTTGGTCAGTGACCCGACCCTGACATCACGGTGACATAAAGTGGAGGAGACATAAACGGGACACAAGTATTTCTTGTGATTCAAGATTGACCCCACTAGTCATTGGTCAAGTCCAAATGATTGATATCCTAGAGCAAGTTCGAGTTTTGTAGGTGATTAATCAAAGATATCAAGGACAGTCAAAAACCAACAAAACGCTTACCTTCACGATGACTGCATCCAAAGAGGCGGCGAGCATCGCACGAATGAGATTATCTGTAGGAACCTGCCAAAGGAATGCTATGGGTTGTAATCTAAGACGGGACGCCACGTGCTCAACCCGGATGCGTTGATAGTCCGATAGAATAGCCCCACTGGATATGAAATGGACTGAGGGGAAGTCCGCCTTGACTTTGGACAAGGCTTGAAAAAGGTCCTCCACCTCATCATCTGCGGACTCCTCATATTGCAGACTCTGACAATAAGGCTTTCCGCTGATTGGGAATTGGTATAAAGGCACTTGTAGAGCTTCGGCAATCAGTCTAACTCCTTCGCTGGCCACACTTTGATACATATAACTATCGATTTCTACAGGGCTAAAACAATGATACACAAAAACGTCACAACATACTGAGAGCCTTCAGGCGTCGGTGAAAGGTTGACAACTGCCTCTAGTTTGTATTCATGTGCAACACACTCCATTATGCTGAAGATGCTGTCTTTGCCCCCACTAACCAAAGCAATGAATCCACGCATATTCTAAAGGACGTGCCTGTAAAATAAAAGCAAACATCGGGTCAGCATCAACACCAACGGTAACACTACATCAGGAAACTCACCGCTGCGTAATGGTTAAATTTGCTTTCCCCATACTTTTGTGGGACCAAAATGGAGGGTGCTGTCAGCCTGTTTCAATTATATACAGCTCGAACCTCGTGCGTATTTAACACCACCACTGTCGGTATGCTTGAGCAACAGCCCCTGGTTGCTCATACTCCTATGATACCATGTTTCATGTTGCTATAAGACTGGGTTGGATCGTTCTCATATACCATGCTTGAGGACCAGCCAGTCGACACAGTTCGTATAGTTATTCACTTTGACAGTTGTGTAAGTCTCGGTAGACCGGACAGGGACCAGATTACGCGAACCCCCGACAACTATGAAGTTGATGTGACATCTGCTTGTCTGCCGAGGTGATGTAACTGTATTTGCCTCAGCTTAGTTCTCGGTCTGAGCCTCCCAAGCTAGCGTTCACGTCAAAACAAACACCAAAGGTGCAAAAGGTCTATTAACGCCCAAAACGAAATCAGGAACAGTTGTACAGCGCTTCGTATATATAGCGTAAGCGGCTATAACTTTCTGGAATTTCTGACGCGTTCTGGAGCTCCATTGGCAACCGGCATTTGGCCAATACTGGGTCATGATTGGCTGTTGGGTCCAGATTGTTGACCAATCAGATCTCGCCTTGATGCCGGACCGGCAAGCGTTCCGAATTTTGGGCCAACCTCGAGCGGGCCAGGCTTCTCGGCCGTAGCAGCGCCTAAAGACGTGCGGTATAGTGGGATCCGCGTGGATTCCTGCCTAACACGAGGAGAGTATACACAGCGGTGATGCAACCCACACTGCTTTGTGGACCAGATACGTTGCGCCTACGCACAGAGGATGCACAAAAAACCTCCGCGCTTGAGCACGCGCTTCCAAAGCATTGGCTGGGTCTGGCTAGAACATTGAATCAGAAATGTTCATGTACACCAGATGGTTTCAGGAAGAAAGAAATCCATCGCGATGACCGAGCTACTCAGCTTCATATTTATGCTGGTTCCACGTCAAAAGACTGTCTACCTCCCGGATTTCTGTCTGCAGAGAGTACATGTGCTAGCAGCGAATTATGAGGACACAAGCCAGTGAACCCAGGTTGACAGCTGCCCTCTCTTGGATGGAGAACCTGGGACTGATTTCATCTAGGGACACTGGTAGGTCGGTGACGTCCTATATCACAGCTTTCACTTTCAGTGCGTGGGTGTCAGGTTTCTTGCTTCTTCCGATAACTATAACGATTCGACAATAGTTTAATTACAATGCCCCTGCCACCGATGCTTCGCTTCATCTCCCTTGTTCGGCCGCTAAAACCGAGGTAGTCGGAACTAACGTATCCTTAACACATTACCTGTAGCTGGTAAATTGGATTGAATTGATGTTTCTAATTGATGGCAGCATAAAGGGTTGGTCGGCGTCGGTAATGTGCGCGGCTAACTGCGCATGTGGATCCTACCTGCCAAGACCACGTACAGTACTTGGTGGGCGAAGGAAGGGTCCAGACATCTATTGCCGCCATATTAAAAGGGGCCATTTCTGGGTCTGACGACGTTTTAATGCAGTAGCGGCACTACCATCTTGATGTACTGTCGGACATGTCACAAACACAAGCAGAAGAAACGTTGGCAACACCACCACGGCCACATGTTAAGTAACGATCCTTTAGTTGTGGAAATCCAGTCGTACATTAGCCAACCTCGCCAGAGAACCTGCAACGACAAGGTCGTCGGGCTATTCAAAATGAATTATCACAGTACTGAAAATTTACTTTCCAGTCAACGATACCTTGATATAGAGCTCAATAGTTCCCTAAATGTAGAGAAACTAAGTACCATTTTGAGACTTTATCGCACCTCAGGGTGCTTGCGTACTATTCGGATTCGTCTTACGTGATGAACAAAGATCTCATTCCAAAGGACGACACATGCATACTGCGGTGTTACGCCAATAATTTCCGCTGCTGCCTACGGATCCAAGAAAAATTCTTCACACCCTCCGTTCATACATTCTAAGTTCGTTTGGGTAGTGCCTAGAGCATTTGGTATATCGGACGTTACACTAAGCAATAGTGACAGTATCCGGCTGTCTCGCCCGAGTTTGGTGCTTGCCGGTCGCCTGGCAAATAAATGCGCTGCAGGAAGCTATGCGAAGTCGCTGATCTACACAGAAATCTACACAAGATTATTCGGGATGTGGCCGAATTCGGTAGATTGCGGTAGGGAATCCGTTAGGAATAATCCAGTGAAACTTCTTGAGACTTCTATCAACATTGTAGTGTTCCTTGAACTCAAAACCTTGCAGGTTTTGTTCGTTTCACGGGGCGATATAGATCTCGCATGCGCTAGGTGCTACAAAGACAGATCACCAATAGCCTGTCGGAGCGATTTAACCGAATAAGAGTCTGAACAACAAGACCCACTAGTCTACAGGATTAGAACAGACAGGATAGCGTGTCCCTTTCTTTTAAGCAACATCGCCAATCATGTTAAACTCTGCTCAACGTATGGCAAACATGTAGTTATGAAAAATAAGGTGGCAAATTGAGGATGACATAAATTCGTTGAGAAAAACGAACTGAGGCGTTTCATGCATGGGTTCATGAATACACTCCTTGAAGTTGAAGATGCACAGCGTGAAAAAGCAGAGCGCAGTGGGATATCTGAAAAAAGGTACAGGCCACCTCGAGAGCCAAACCGCTCAGCTCAAGCGATCGAAGTGACCGCGACCAAGCACCCGTTTTCTAATTACCTCGTTGGACCTCACTGACGTTATCCAACACCAGCAGCGCTCCTGAGTAATGCGTGGTCAAACAGCTGAAGACGTCTCACATCATCCGTTCGCAGAGGTTACCGCTCGTAACCATTGGCAGCACATTGAACTGAGAGAGAAGGCGACAATTCTGGGCTCAGGAATGTGGTAAAAACTACCCAGAGACCCCACTGTTTATCATACAAAATAAGCCCGACCTAAAGCTGACACCTTGACGTGGTCGTTCGCAGAACCGCTCGTAACCATTGGCAGCACATTGAACTGAGAGAGAAGGCGACAATTCTGGGCTCAGGAATGTGGTAAAAACTACCTACCCACCCCACTGTTTATCATACAAAATAAGCCCGACCTAAAGCTGACACCTTGACGTGGTGGTCGGGCTTCAGTGCTGCAATGATCCCACGGGCTACACTGACTGGAAGTTCGTTCCACAAGGTGCAACCATGCCAGTGTTAGTGCGCTACTTATAATTAGACTGCTTACCGCGTGCACGGATGCTGCGTTGTGTTGAGCGCCTTGCGTATCTCCGTTGCGTGGTGCGTGGTGGAGTGTGTTGTTTTGTCAGGTTCATTTTTTATTTGTACGCGTTTGCAGTGAACGTGGGAATGTGTGTTTTGGTGCATGCTAGACAGGAACTGACTTGTGATCGGTTAAAGTCGCGGGCGGAACGGCGTTTGTCACGTGATTTGTGTGCTTGTGTTTGATTGTGTTCTGTCCTTATACAGGAGAGTTTGACGTGTGTACAAAAACATGAATCGTTCCGTGCGTACTAAACAGGAACTGACTTGTAATAGCAGGTCAGTTTCGGGATCTAGTACACACTCATGTACTGGACAAATTAGGTGAAGCTGGTTGAGGGGACATGTGAATGTCCGCTACAAATACTCTCCCCCTAACGAAAAGGAACAACAACAAAAATAATGAAAAAAATGGTCGCTTGGACGTTTGGTGTGTCAAAATGTGATGAACTAGTTGATGTCAACTTGCGATGAAACGATCTGGCCAGTGTACGTGTCTGCCGGAGCGGGTGATGTGGTGAGGTGTGCTCTTGGAATCTGTGTCTGATGGGGCCTTGGATATTGTCGTGGAATTTCCGGGCTTGTCGTTATCTGTAGTGCAAGGATCGAGAAAATCCATGGATGCTGGTTTCAAACGGTCAATGCTTATGTTCTCCGTTCTGTTGTGTAACTGTACCGTAAAATGTTTCTGATGTCGAGCAAGCACTGGAAAGGGGCCGTTATACGGAGGTTGTAAAGGATGTTTGACCTGATCAGAACGCACAAAAACGTATTTGCATGAGGAGAGATCAA